GTCGCTGTTCAGTCTGTTACGCTGAGCCATGCATTGTCTGGAACGTAAAAGGGACGAAGAAGACAAAGTGAAGTGACGTACTTCCGGTTCAATGTGAAAACATTCCCAGTTAAACCATAGATATATATAAAAACATATGTTTATATATATCTATGAGTTAAACAACATAAACAAATCGCTTAATAAAAAGATAAAACACTGGCATGTAATTTACGTTTGGATTAAATAGAATGGTTTTGAATAATAGATGAGAGTAAAAATCTACGTCACAGCCCCACCCACTTTTGGGGAAACCAACGCTGTCATTTGAACGGCGATCAAGCCTGAAGCCACAGAGCTCTTCTGCTGTCCTTAGAGGAAGTTTGAGGTGTTTGAGGTGCAATAAACGACACAGCAGCTTTTTGGCATGTTAAAACTATTATTTTCTGCCTCGCAGCTGGCGAAATTACAGCCTCGCCTACTGATTTTAATTTAACCATAGGATATCAAACCCGATCGTCGATTTCAAATGTGTGCTCTAAAATGATATTAATAAATGACTATTATCATTATAAGCTAGAAAAGAAATGGCAAATATAGGTAGAAAGCAAACGTATTTAAGATACGTTCATAACAAACGTGATGTGAGAGAAAATAGGTTTCTAGAAGATATGTAGAAAATAAACGTATTTAAGATATGTTCATAACAAACGTAACGTGGAAGGAAATACGTTTCTTGCGAAACGTATTTGAGAATGCAGTTTAGTTTTGTGGGAACGTAATTTCTAGGAGACAGGGTTGCAACAAAACATGCAGCAGAGATTAGCAACACAACCTTACCGGCATTGCAATGACTGTAAACGTGTAATAACGTGCTTTAACCACTAGGTGAATAATACAGACGTATAAAGTACACATGGTATACAATGCTATCAAAAACACATTATGTTAATTTACATATCTAACTACCATTATCAAGCTAAATATGGACTATATGAGGCTAAGGCATTGTACCAGGTGTAGGCTAATTATGTAGGCTAAGTCAAAAACAGGAAACTGATGAGGTGTTTGAAAGGTAATTTATGAGGATCAAACAAATGAGGTACACAGAATACAATGCCATTTTATCTGTTTCATTATTAGTGTAGGACAGATATGTATATATAACACCTGAAGATGTTTTATTCATGTTAGTCATTACTTTTAATACTAGTTGAACATTACATTTTTACATTTGTATGTTTAAAAAAATATATGTTTCTAGTTATTGTGCTTTTTATCATGTTTTATTATTGTACTCCCATTGTGTTATTTAATATTGTAGTTATTGCCTGTACAGCACTTTGGTCAACTGAAGGTTGTTTTAAATGTGATATATACAGGATATAGCTATATTATTGCACATATTTTAAAACATCAGACAAAAAGGTTTATCCGCCCCCTCATGGTGCTAATCAGTATGTGTGTTTGCTAAACAGAGATACAAACAGAACATGAGTGAACAGTCAAAACAATTTTTATCAACTTTATTGTTATGGGACCTTGTTTACATAGTGTTTCAGAGTAGACATGTAATAACATCTGAATAAAATGAAATGATAGAAAATGCCTTCAACAGCATATCAACAACCTGAAGAATAACTTACTGGACATACATATTAAGACATTAAGAAATGTGTCATTTTTTTTTGTCGGAGGACCGCAGCTGACGAGAGGGGGTGTAGGGCTGAAGGAGGTCAGAGATGTATGCAGGGGCTAGGGAGTGGAGAGATGTGTAGGTTAGCAGGAGGAGTTTGTACTGGATGCGTGACTTGACCGGGAGCCAGTGAAGGTGGAGGAGGATGGGGGTGATGTGTTGCCAGGGCTTAGTGCGGGTGAGGAGCCTGGCTGCAGAGTTCAGGACGTACTGGAGCCTGTCCAGGGCTTTGCAGGTGACCCCGAACAGAACTCCATTGCAGTAGTCCAGGCGTGAGGAGATGAAGGTATGAATTAATGTTTCTGCAACGGGGTCGGGGAGAGAGGGCCGGAGTCTGGAGATGTTTCGAAGGTGAAAAAAAAGCAGTTTTGACAGTAGACCTGATGTGGGAGTTGAAGGTGAGGCTAGAGTCCAGAGTGACGCCCAGGCTGGATGGAGCAGCCATCGACGGTGAGGAGCAGATCTCCAACCTTCCGGAGCAGTGTTTTTGGGGCCACAACCATGAGCTCTGTTTTGTTTTTGTTGAGTTTCAGTAGGTTTGTTGACATCCAGGTTTGGATGTTGCGGAGGCAGTTGACTAGTGACAGCTGGGATGATGGATTGGTACTGATGTAGAGTTGGGTGTCGTCGGCATAGGAGTGGAAGTTGAGACCATGTTGGCGGAGTATTTCACAGAGGGGGAGCATGTAGATGTTAAATAGAAGGTAGTCTGGAGGGGGCTTCACCGTGTGTCATCAGAGCTGTCAGAGTCACAGTCAGAAGACTCATCTGAAAGACTTTGCAAGAAGCTGATGGTCTCTGCTCCAGTCAAAAGCTGCAGATAGCATCGTCTAGTATGAGTCTTCATTTCTCCGATGTCGTGCTGCTTTTTCCTAAACATGCTCTGGAGACCTTTCATCCCGTCTTCGCTCAGGCCCAATGGTGAATCTTAAATGTATAAGATAAAGACAATATTAGTTACTTCATCACCTATCACTGATGAGTAAAGTCATGCAAAGTAAAAATGTAATATATACTGTACTTTGCAGGCAGGACATCTCTTTCAGGGAATCACTGCGGGTTGAAAGGACCTTCCAGTGGTGGTTCATTTCTGTGACGAGAATCTTCTTCTCCTCCTGTAGTCTCTTCACTGCCATGACAAGGTCGAATGCTCTTCTCTTTGTCCTGAGGTCGAAAGAGTCTGGAAAGCATTTATGAGAAAACATGAATTAATGTGTATGAAAGATCAACATTCAAAGAATCTATGAAGTCTTAAATAGATTTATATATCAGACATGAAGGTTTTCCACATTTGCTGTGAGCATTCAGCAGACTGGTGTACTTACCACTGTTTGGTAGCTGCCATGGCCAAGCTTTCTCCACAGACAGAATGGCTTCGAGGCACAGCGCTTCTGTGCTTGGAACCATTGAGTTGTATTTCTCAACTGTGGCTGTCAGGACCCCTTTCTCATCCCTGATCTTGCGGCGGATCCGGGAACGACCTTTGTTGCTGTCTGTGTCTTTGTAGAGACGCTGCGAACGTCTCTTGATACTTACTGTCAGCATTTCGATCTTGCTGGCCAAAGCAGCAGCATCCCTTGGGTTGTTTGTTGTTGCTTTTTAGAGGAAATAGGTGTATTAAGCACAGTAATTCACAATAACAGTGACATTTGATCAAATGTTTTAATATTATTTTATTACATATGCTTCATGAAAAATAAGTAATGCAAATGTCAATAGAGGGTTATCACTAATTCTGAAAATTTAAAATAAATTGATAAATCATGACTACAAAAAAGTTGAAAAACGTCATTAAGATTGTCCTCACTTTCTGCCCACTCATTCACATCTCTGACCCAGTCTTCCAGCTGCTTTTCAGTCACTGCCAACTCAGCCTTCATGGACTCCAGGTTCTGCAATTGCTTTTCCAGAGCTTTTGTGGTCTACAAACGTCAAACAATTAAAGACAAGTAAATACAGAAATCTACATTTAGGCCACAAATAATTCTTCTAAAACTATGTTATTACCTTCAGATATCTGCGGGACAGTGAGGTGGCCAAGTTGCTGACTTGTTGCTGATTCCAGCGCATGGCCATCAGCGTCAGCATGTCTGTACGTCCTGCAAAAGAGAATATCACATTATTACTATTCCTCTTACTTCTTATACTGTAACTGGGGTTTATAATATATTGCCATCCTAAATGGTGTTCTATGGTCATAACCGTCAATGAGCTTTTATGAGTTTCTGTTGTTGGTGTAATTTGTTAGTGTAATCTGTGCCTTTCTGAACATTTTTTGAAAACTGACAGTAAAGGTTCTATCGTAACTCACCTGCTTTTGACATGTGTTTTGTGGTCACTGCTATCCGAGAGAGGAAGGCATTGACCTGTTCCACCTCCTCCCCTAGGGTTAGTCCAGCCCCCTCTTGATATGCCCCACTCCATTTCACCTGTTTAAAATATATTCAAAAGTACGACTCGTTACAACTTGTCACTATTCACAAGGAGGTTTTTACATAAAGTGATTGTGTCACATGGTAACAATTCCTTACTTCACATTTGAAGTCATGCGCTTTCGCATGAAACACTGAGAGAAAGGGCTTCATGTCGAGAAGATGCTGGAGCTCTGGACAGCTTTTTGTGATTCTCTGGAGGTAGGGCCAATATTTGCAGGTCACATCCATGCAAAAGAACATACTACTGGCCAGCTTTTTCTGTAGGTACAGGGGATAAGCAAAGATTTCTCCCCTGTACATATTGAGAGCACAGAGGAGCACTCCATGTCGACAGACGGCAAGCTCTAGTCCCTCCTCATCCAGCTTGCCGGCTGATTTTTGGGAGGTCTCTCTGGCTGCCGACCACTGTCCTCCACAAACACCTCTTCCGGAGACCTAATATATAAAAATGTATTGATGAAAATGGTGCAAAGACTAACCTAACCAAACCCTTCATTAGGATATTATATTATACATAATTAGAGTCTGCAATATTACATGTTTGGTTGTGGTGTGTATATAGTCCACAAATCTTGAGACGTCTTCATCCCTGGCTATAAAGACACCGTCAAAGATGGCCTGTTCCTCAGATCTAAATAAATCAAAGGAGCAATGTATGACATCTCAGATTATTGATTGATTGATTGGTTCACATCAAGATACTTTTGTTTCGTTATTTGTTCAAATACTGTGACATTATATATTTTCTATAGTACCTAGCTGCATTCTTGAAACGGTAATGCTTGCGGTTTCCATCCACGGAAACTGCAAGCATATCAGGGCTACACGCAGGACAGGTGAAGGGCTCCTCCTTGCACATGATGTCCACCTCATAACGCACAGCCTCCCACTCAAAGAAACTTTTGATGAAGTGAGATCTTCCCAGTCTATAACAAAATAAGGACATCAACAGATAATGTCAAAAATAAATTATAAATTATAAGGACACAGCTTACAATTTGTACAATACAAATAGATCAAAAAGGACAAGTAACTTCAATACTCACACGGCCGAAGCGCAACGTTCGCTGATCGAGCATCCTTAAATATGCCTGAAAGGATAGTCCAGGTGCAGCCATTTTCATTTCTTCAAATGAGAAGAAAACATCTGTGGCATAAATGGTGGCGAAGTGAAGGGTAGCTGGCCAGTAGTCACTCCGAAGAAGGTCGTCAACCCCAGTCGTCCATGTCGCAGCGCATGCTTCACAAGCCAACTCTGGCATGCTTAGCTCATGTCGTCCTTGAAAAACAGACAAGGTGTTTTTAATACATTTGGTATTCTTTACTCAATACCCATGTTAAGGTTTAATAGACAAGCTATCCCACATGTGCAGGTCTTTGAGAAGGGTTGGATATTATCAAGAAGAAACTTCAATAACATCTATCTTAAGAAACAAGACAAACATTCTTCCCATTCATTGTGATCACAGTCACAGTCTTTCCTGGCTTGAGGCTCAATGACTCTGATGCACAACCACAGATTTTGTCCGGGATCTCCACAGGTACAAACCGCACTGGAAAAAAATTCAAATGGGAATTAAAAATAATTTGTCTCTTTTGAAAAATACTACATTGTTATGTGACATATTTAGGATTTAACTTTACATCAGAACATTAAAAGAGACTTAAGCACACTGCTGGGAATTAACACAGAGATGTTGAGGAAGCTCACATTTTCAAAATGAAATTCTCAACAAGTCCAGCAAGAAAATGTACATTCACAAACCAGAACTTACCACAGGAGCAAAGGGCCATATTTAGTACATGTGTTGTTGGGGCCAATGGCTGGAAGTAACCTGCAGTAGTAGCATCTCTGTTGTGGAGGGGGTGTCTGGTGTGCATGCTGACATCACAGTCAGCACAGAAGAAGGGATGTGGTCGGCAATCCCGGCACCAGACAACAGACGTTTTGCTCCAACACTGTTGGCAAATGTGTGTTCCCACATTTGCTTGGGCCACTACGGTGTTAACCAGATGTGGTCTCGCTGCCCTCCAGCTCTCTGAAAAAAAACTTGTTCGAGTGCTCCAGTTGGTCGAGGCCAGCAGAGAAGCACTTGGGGTTTGTGCTACCACCTCATCTCCTGTAGTATCGCTCAGAGACTGCTGGAGATCTCGTAGAAACCCCTCTGTTAAAATGGTACAATAAAGTCCAAAGCACAATGATTAGTTTTCTTTAAAACATACTGGATGGAGTGGTTTTGAAAGCTGTAACTACTGTGTTCTTAATTCTAGCAAATTATGAAGTTTAGAAATGAAGTACGTATCACATAAAGATACAAGTATGAATATGTGTTTCGGGCTAACCAGACCAAATGAAGTACATACCAACAGTCTCTGGAGCGATAGCTGGAGCAAAGACCAGATCACAGTCAGGGTCAGGAGCATCAACGGGGGGATCAGTGTTACGACTGCAGCCAGCTGTATCAGAAAAAACATTTATTTTATACCATTAAATTGTACTACTTTTCCCTTACCAAGAGTTATGTTTTCATTCATTTCATATACTCAAGTGCCTAGAAATATATATCTTATACTGACCCTGATTTGAGACATTCCGGGTTGAACGTGGTCTTGCAAAGATCAAGTTTCCCTCACTGTCTCTCTTCTTCCAGCACATCATTGACACTGCTGGCACTGCTGTTGCTGCTGCTGTTGCTGCTGCTGCTGCTGCTGCTGCTGCTGCTGTTGCTGCTTCCACTTTACAAAGCAAATCATCAGCACTCCGTAGGTCATCCCTTAACTCTTTCTGCTCAACCAGCTCATCTGCGCTTCTCAGGAGATCCTCAAGATCAGAATCACTCATTAGATCACACAGAAGAAAGACTGACAACAGAGTTAGACAGAGAAATAAATAGAGAGATAGGAAGAGACTATCAAGTACAACACAGCAAGGACAGTTTAACAAGACAGACTTGGCTCTTAAAAGTGCCTTTGGGTTGTTTGGAGTTTGGAAAAACAAAGGGTTGTTTTTTGGAGAACAAATTGCAGGATCTGTTGAGAGAAAACAACATAATTTAGAAACTCAAAAATAAACAAACAATGCCAGTGTAATTGTTGTTGTTTACAATTTTCTACTTGGCTAATAACCAATTAATGCTTACTACTGTTGTCATTAAAGGTATTTTCACACCATCGCACAGCAAAATCACTGCCACCAGTCATTTAAATAAGTAATTTGTACAAAAATTATAAAAGTATTATTACTATTACAGGGTTCCTGCAGGTTTCGCCAACTCAAATTTAAGACTTTTTAAGACCTTTTTAAGACCACTTTGAATAGAATTTAAGACCTATTTCACGGCAAGAAAGTATGAAGGAAAATTGCTATGAAAGAAGAAATACGTCCCATAAATGTATTCATGTTCAACATAAGAACAATGACTGAACATAACAGCATAACAGTACAGAACTGTGTTAGCGTGTTAGACAAAAAGTGTGTATGTGTGTGTGTCTCTGTGTGCTTGTGTGTGTGTGTGTGTGTGTGTGTGTGGGCTGTGCAATTAATCATATTTTAATCACAATTACGAAACAACATAATCGATTATTTTGCTTTGCTAGGTTGTGACAGTGCACTACAACATATTTGATTAATTAATTTTAGTCTAATTTATTTTTATTTATCATATGTGTGGAAGTGCGCTCCAAAATATTTGTTGATCTTGTTTATTGGTATTTATTATTTTTGATATTATTTATTTAAATGTATCATTTATTTAATTTATTTTTTCCGTTGAATTATACGTTCAGGGTAATCAACAGTTAAAAAGATACTGTCCAAATTATTATTTGTTTTAAAGTTCAATAAATGGATGTTTTCAAAGTCAATTAATAATTGTATTTAATAATTGTGATATCAATTATTGACCAAAATAATCGTGATTATGATGTTTGCCATAATCGAGCAGCCCTAGTGTGTGTGTGTGTGTGTGTGTGTGTGTGTGTGTGTGTGTGTGTGTGTGTGTGTGTGTGTGTGTGTGTGAGAGAGAGAGTGACAAGAGCTATATTCAGAGCTCTGCTGCCTTGGCTACAATCTTTCATCGTTGCTGTTGTATGATTGGTGTTTAACTACGGTATTTAGCGTCTACAGCACCTCCGCTTTTAGGGTTGACGTAGACCCAAACGTTGCCCGGAGGTCCCAATGTGTTGTTGCGGGAGCTGCTGCACTAGCTAACGCTGCACTAGCTAACGCTACATTAGCCAAACAAACGCTAATTTATTTTGCAAAAGGTGCAGCGGGCTTTAAACACGTTCCCCTCCCCTGGTTTCAACCAAGCACTAAATTCGATGTTTTCCAACCAATAACGGTTGAACTTACACTTCGCCATATTTATTCGAAGATACATGAGTTTCTGTCTGCCGCTAGCTGAAGCTTGGTTGCTAGGTTACTAGCTGGGTGTTCTCCAATAAGGGGCCGGCGGAAACAAAGTTAGTGATTACTGGTTCCATGTTGACTTATTTCAATACAAATTGTTGGGGGGAACTGAAAGGCTATTACCATACTGGTTACTTTGCAGCCCGGACATTTCCCCCAAAACACATTTAGACGCTATCGCAACACAGAAGTACCTTTCAAATCCCATCATTTTTAAGACCTTCTAAATCATATTTAAGACCTTTCTTATTTTTTTGGCCATATTTAAGACCTTTTTAAGGCCTTAAATTCATATTATCAAATTTAAGACTTTTTAAGACTTTTTAAGACCCCGCGGGAACCCTGTATTAATACTAAAAACACATGTATACAAAGTATTATTAATAGATTTACGATTCGAAAATTATAAAAGCAGAGTAGACATGTGGAGATTATCCGGCTGAACAAAACGTGATCCGTCTCTTAAATGTGTGTCAACCACAGACCTTATTTCGAGCTATTTTCCAAAATCCTATGGAGAAATTGCAGTGCGTGTTCTAGCTAGCTAGCTAGCAAGCTAGCTCAGGCGAGTTCATTTGTTATATTTAGGTAATACCCTATATTATTTAGTTACTATACCCCTCAGAAAGGTGCCAGAAGCAACATTGGCGCCGATTAGATTATTATTATTATTATTATTCGTGGCTAAGTTTATTTCCTATAACTATGTGTTACCCATGCTCTTACCTTGATTCTGAAGAACTGCGACTCTCTCATCCAGATTTGGTCACGTAAAGTGCAAAGGTATGCCGTCTTTACGACGGTACCTGAGGATTGTGGGTAATGTAATCGCAAAGCGGACAGAAGTCGTCACAACAATAGCTGGGGATTGTGGGTAGTGTAGTGTCTTCGGCCATCCAAAACTCAAAACTACTTGTTTCTCAGAATTGAAGGGGAAAACGTGACAAAAGCATTGTACACTAAAACCTATCAATGTCGTTTAATTAACAAGGATAATCTGGTGGTTTTTAGTTAATGAGTAGTGCAGATATCACCTATTTATGTTTCATCCAATCACAGAGCTTGTTGACTTATCACAAGGTTTTGTCCAAAGCGGACAGAAGTCGTCACAACAATAGCTGGGGATTGTGGGTAGTGTAGTCTCTTTGGCGCTCCACATTTCAGAGAAAACAAGTTGTCTCAGAATTGAAGGGGAAAAACACAAAAGCATTGTACACAATTTAAACCTATCAATGTCGTTTAATTAACAAAGGTAATCTGGTGTTTTTGAGTGGATGAGTAATGGAGATATCACTGTCAAATCAATCGACAGTAAGGAGAATACTTACTTCCGGGTGTACAATTCTCCGTTATCCAATGGGAATGGACGCTCACATTGCCTTTAACAGCTGCCGACACAAACGAATGCCGTGCTTCCCTAAGCGTCAAATACCGCCGCCGATGGGAATACATTGCAATCAGTTGAAAGCTCTTTGCATCCGTTTATGACGCTGATGGAGACTCAGCGCGTCACAACTGGACGCCACGGAATTCTGACCAAGCGTCGCTCCTGGACGCGTTGGGAGTGAGAGTGTGTTGCGCAGGTGCACACGCCAGGATAGAGGACATCAGACTCCAGAGAAAACTTGCTCGAGTCCGAGTCCAAGTCGGAGCGTCAATGTACAAGTCGAGTCCGAGTCATCGTGGGCGAGAATTCACGAGTCCAAGTCCGAGTCGCGTCAATCAGGGCGCGAGTCCAAGTCGAGTCACGAGTCCCGAAAATCAGCACTCGAGTCCGAGTCCAGGACTCGAGTACTCCATCTCTGGTCTCTTCTTAGCAACCACTGTTTGTACGACACAAAGAAGCTTCGGACTTTCAGCAATAAGGTATTTACTAACGTAAAGAATTTTTGTTTGTGTTAACCACATACCTTATTTTGACTTTGAGACGATGGAACCAGAAATGGTAAAGACTGGATAAGCATTAACTGTAGTCCATTAACCACTTTAAGTCATCAAAACTATCCATTTTATTCTTAATTTAGTTCTCTTTTTCTCTGCCTTTTCATATTTAAAAGAGGACAACATATTAAAAGTTCGTCAGCAGCACAATGATTGGCTGTTGGAGATTGTGTCAATATGTATAGTTGTTTACTTACTTAAAGGTCCCCTATCATGCAAAATGCACTTTTTTGTATGTCTTATGACATGTAAATATGTGTCCCCGGTGTGTAAGGAGACTCACAAAGTGTTCGAAAATACAACCCTCTCTCTTTTCCTCCTGGAACGGAGCTGATCCAGATTTGCTGCCGATATGACATAATATCGGAAATGTAGGTTGGCTTTACACCCACGGCCCTATCAGAAACGTTGCTATCAGAAACAATGCGCAACGTGTTTTGGAAGCAATATGGTCTTTGTTTACATTAGCAAGCATTGCTAACACTCAGAGCTAACGCTGTACTGGAGAGAGTACCTATGTATAAAAAAGCATTTGAGCTCCATGTTTCAGAAATAATCCTTGATGTGGTTTGCAACATAATATGGGAATGAATAATCAAAAAGGCTATTCTTCCAGATTGAACACAGAGGGTGTTCAATCTCAACGTCTTCCGAGTCACTTGCTTCAGAAGCGAGGAAAGAATACTTCCTGACATTGGGAAAACGAAGAGTGGAACAGGCGAGCAAGTGTGCAGTTGTGCGTCATATGAGAGGCCCCGCCTTACATTTTCCGCCACAGATTTGGGGAAATTGGTCCGTGCGCAAAGCATTGTGGGGATTTTAAGACCGCGGAGTCTACACATGTGCAGCCTCGAAATTTCTCGCTACGAAGTACGCTGGGCTCGGTAGAATTCCAAGTATGCTGGACATTGGAACAGTCCTTCGGCGGCCCTCGATGACGTAGTATGCTTGAAATAGTGGCTCTGGAGCAGCTTTACTCGACATTGAGAAACACCCTGAGTTTCATCACACCTGGAGTCCTTCCTCCCAGCTGAGCAGATCTGCAGTAAAGCTGAAGCTGATGTTGTGTGACTGCTGAGCAAGGCAGCAGGCTGGACAGTCAGAACCTCTACCAGCCTAATGATCAGTGAGCAGCTCAGGTCAGAGCTTATACCTCTCCGTCCGGCTCTTTTTAATGATGTTTGTCTGCAGCCTGCTGTCCTCATCCACAGCCACAACAAACAAGCAGGTACAGGGGTCATACTCCTTCAGTACACATTGAGAACTACATGCTTTAAGTAGCAAACTGCTATCGAGAGCTTTTGCATTTTATTCTTCACTTAACCCAGATGGCAGAAGTTCCTCTGTTTGGTTGCTGATGAAAAACATTGTATTTAATTGTTTATCAAAATGTTATTAAAACACATGGGTATTTCCTTTTCCTTGACGATAGCTGAAAACAACTGAAATTATTTTCCAGAAAGATAGCCTTTGAGAAGCTTCCATGAACT